GTGTGTGTGTGTGTGTGTGTGTGTGTGTGTGTGTTTTGGCGGGTGTGTTGGTATGTTTGGAGTTTCTTCTGTATGATGATTCACTGCTGCTCTCTCTCTCTCTCTCTCTCTCTCTCTCTCTCTCTCTTTCAAGCTCATATTGCTGTTGGCTCTCAAACATCTTTCTCCTGCACGGCTTAAATCTTCCAATGCAAAAACAAACGTCATTCTCGCAGATAATATAACAGCACACATACACACACTGAACACTGGACTCTACGCAGCACAGCCTTACTGTACACACATTTAGACAGCATATTTTCATCTTATCAGTATCAGTCAATTTGAATGATTTATTTAAAAAAATGTTAAAAATCTGAAATTAATACTATGAGCTTTTCTTTGCATAATAATTATGATAAAATATGTATGCTTGCATGAAAATATTCAATATCAGGTTAATAACAATAAATGTTGTTTTCATTTTGTATATTATTTTAAAAATATATTACATGCATGGACGCACTTTACAACCAGGTTAAATTTGTTAACAACAAATTTAAATCATTAGTTAAATCATTAGGCATCATGAACTAACAATGAAAGACAATTTTTACAGCATTTAATAACCTAGGTTAATGTCAATTTCAATAGTATTGTTAATATTTGTTCAAAGTATATTTTTACACTTTTTTGTAAAATGTTAGTACATTTGTATAAGTATTAGCAAGTAAAAATCATTGTTAACCTTGATTAATAAATGCTGTAAAGATATCGTTCATAACTATGCGCATAAAAGCCACGTATTAAACGTATTAAAGTTAATGGAGATATATAAAATTAAACAAATTAAAATTAATGAATAAACTATTTAGGTCATGAGTGTTTTCTCCATTTTAGAGAAGATCTTTGATGTTGCATAATATTTGAATCATATACATTTAAACTGAAAATAAAATAAACGCACATACACTGTTATATAGTTAGTTTTCATGACTTTACTGTTATTTGGACATAATACAAATTATGTTATATATTTTACAAATATTATATTATAAAATGTTTTGTTATATATAATATTATATAACATTATACAAAATGATTTAATAATACATATGTTTTACACCAAATT